GCCGGTGCAGGTACTCCAGCCCCTTCAGCGTGTCGATGAGGATGGTCGCGATCTCGTCCTCCGAGAGCGTCTTCTTGCGCAGCCGCATTATGTCCGACACCGAGCCTGCGCCACAGTATTCCATTACAATCTGCAAAGACGTTCGTACAACTTTACACAAATGACCTTCAAGGTCAAGGAGGTCAGAAGACATGTTACATCAACGCCAGTAAAGTTTTTAAGGATTTTCAAAGTTAAATGAAGTTGATAATTCAAAATGGAATTATGGGATGGTGGTCAATGTCACAGCTCACCCATAGGTCTGTGTTCTTGAAATAACTGCCGTAGTACTTGACGACGTAGGGACTATCGCACTGCTGCATAATAGAGATCTCCTTGATGATCTCCTGCAGGTCCGTGTCCACCGGCACCTGCTTGATGGCCAGCACCTGACCGCTCTCCTTGTGCAACGCCTGCAACACGCGATACAGCGTCCTTGTAAGACAGAAATTGAGCTTATATGTTTACTTACAACATACCATTTTGGGACAGACATTAATTGAAAAATGTATTATATTATATTGGTATACGTCAGGAAGTTACTTTATAAACGCTGCCATAGGATCCTTCGCCAAGCTTGCAGATGATGTCGAACACCTCCTCCGGCTGCCGCGTTAGACTCTCTTCTGATAACTTCTTCAATTCACTGAAAAAAAAAATTATTAACGTTATTGCACATTTAAAAAATAGACAAGATATTAAAATTTCAAATAAGAATAGCTATGTTATAGAGTGCAAGATCAATGACACGAAATGTAATCACAGTCCGCCTACACACGTAGACGAATGATTTGCACGAACACATCGGACTGTACGATCAATTGAGTCGGCAATACGTCATAGCATAAATATTTAGCCGCTAACCTTTACATATTTATTTATTTATTTATTTATTTATTGGTGATAACCACTCAGCAAATGTGCTGATCTTCCGTGGCTTTTAACATAGATGGCACACATGTTTACACATAACAAACACATTCTCCATTACAAAATAAAATGTACATTGTCACAATATAATTTTGACATAAGCAATTGATAACCTGACACATATAAACAACACCTCTCTTAGAGTCTACCCTATATGGCTAATAGTTACAGATCGATCATTGGTCCTTAAGAAAGACAAGGAACCGAAACTGGTTAACCCCATTCATAGACTAACTTTAATAAAGCATGAAGTAGGATACAATCACATACAAATCATACATAATGGGTTGTAGTCCGTAATAATTACGTAACTCGCTATATAAACATATCACATTATTGGTAGAACCATATAAAATTGATGACAATCGATCTATATGTCAATGACCGCTTATCAGATGCGTGGGTCCCGGTCGGGAGGTTTTTATGTCCCCTCTGACATATCATTTGTCTATAATGTCACAATGTATTAGTATGGGTGGCAAATATGGATGCAATTTGTATAACCCGCCATAAATGGATAATAATATATCAAGGTTTTATAAAAATAGCCATTTTTATAGGTAGAATGGGTCTTTAAAGTTAATTTCGTTAATAAAGTATTCATAGTTTATTATCAATATAACAAAACAATACGGAATGCGTTAATTATGAGGCAATGCGTAATCGTTGGCATGCGGGCTGCAAGCCGTAGCCGGAGCGAATCACGCGACACGTGCTGAGGCTGCGGGGCGATGGGGGCCTGGCCGGCGGGGGGTATACACCGCAAACGCACGGATAATTAACAACATACAGCTTTATCGCTCAGCCTCCAAGCATCATTGTTACTGCTGCACTCATTTGTTATTGTGTTTTTGTCTTAAATACAAAGGAATGTTTAAGTTAGAGTACGGTTACCCAAACTGAAACTGTCTTGCTTTACAAAACAATTTACTGATACAGTCTTGGTTAACTAAACATTTGCTTATTTAATACTAAATAGGGGAAATTGCCACCCTATTGAGTCCTGTCTAGGCCGCCTAGGTCAGTGGCAATCAATAAACATAACAAAAAACATAAGGTGTAAAATAAATAAGTCGTTGCAAAATGGCGTCAATTTTTTGAGCATTAAAATTGATTCTGTTTGATACGATCATTGTCTTTGTCAGGTTGTGATGCAAATACAGTATGCCTTTTAGAAACAGAGGTTCCAGGCTAGTTGAGTGCTCGATATTCTGGTATAGGATGTGGGATAAACATTCGTCGCCGGCAACGGTTACTGCGGAAGCACCGTCAGTATTTATAGACACAAGCGTCGTCGCGAGATCCCCGTCTGATTTTGATGTTCAGTATGTTAGCTTATCTTGTGTTATCATGAATCATTAGTGTCGCCAAGAGCAGATGATTTCGCCCTTCCTAGAGACTCAAATGTAAAACAGATACAAAACGAGTAATTGACCCTAGCCCTAACTTAGATCAGCGCCTGGCGATGATCATTTCTGGTGTTAGATCACTATGACGTTTTCATGTACATTTTTATATGGTGTTGCTCAGTTTCCTAAACAACTGGACCGATTTCGACGAGCGATGCCTCAATCGATTCACTGAGATCCATTAATCCACTTTGAAGATACATAGTAACAAATATCCATCCATCTACTTTCGCGTTTACAATATTAGATAGAAGTAAGATGTGTTGTTTTAGTTTGTTGTAAGTTGTTGTTCGTCACAGAGAGAGTAGTGTCATCATATTATTGAAGCAAGTTCAACAAGCTGACTGCGAGCAAGGTCGAGTGTCGGTCGTACAAACAACCCGGGTCATAGAGCAAAAAAAAATACAAATAAAATTTCAAGTATACATTTCATATAGAAATAATATTTGTATAAAACGTATTCATCGTGTAACTGTACTGATAAACAAATGAATTCCCACGTAAAAGTAACTACATAACTTAGCATTTAATTAATGGAGGGAGATGACTGAAGAAAAAGTAGTTGGACGGAATTTTGTAACAGGATATTGTGTTATTTGCAGTCCGTTATTCAGTTGCTATCTCTTCTTTAAACTGTATTAAATAGCATACAAGTCAGGGTAATCTTAACACAACATTGTTATCTGACGGTCAGGTTCGAAGCGATGCCTTTCTCACGGCCACTTGCCTCGCCTGCAAAAATTGATACGTTCTTCACCTAACTGTACACTACAACTTTATAAATTTTAATTGAGGACAAAGAAAACGTTCATAAACATTTATATTTATGCACAAACAACTACCGCAATAAACTTTTTGAACGCTTCTTTAACCAAATGTATTCATTAAACGGAATATCTCGACTTCTCCTTATTTCATTGCACTAATAATTGTTATACACCTTTTTAAGCCTTCAAATGTATACAAAAACCGGCACAAGTCGCCTTCACCGAATTAATTTGATGATTTTATCATCAATCCTATCAAGGGAGTAAGAATTTCAAACAAAAGAATATTTACAAACATAATCTAAGATCCATGCTAGTTTATAATGATTCTCGTAAAAAGTACAGCACAAACAGTAATTATCTATTGTTAATTAACATGAAGCTCCTAATAAGACATATAAACACACGTCATGAGGCATGTGGTATATGTAAACAGTAAACACATAGTGATGCGCTTGCTCGGCCGCTGCTGACCGCCTGCCAGTGGGCTGGCGACCAGCTGTGCAAACACTTGCACACTCATATGCCTACTGATTACGTGTTACGTTACGGGGAAATATCATCTCTGTGAAGTCACAAGGTATTCTACTGGGTTTAAAAACAAATATGTATTTCAACAAAGTAGTAGGATCCCTTAAGGCCGATCCACCCTCGGGTCTTTCTTTAACTAAACCTTTCGGATAAAAATTAAGGTCAGTTTCAAGTTTTAAAGTGTGTAAAATAAATACTGAATGTCGTCATGTCGACAAAATTTGTGTTATATGATAAATCAGACACTAATATCCTAAACATTAGACGCTAGCTTTGAAAGAGATACAATAAATCAAAAAGGTGACAAAGTAAATATAACTTTAAAATTACACTATTTGCAGAACTGGTAGATCGGGTGGTTATAATTTTAATAATCAAGGAAACTGAGCGGGGTCGAGGAATGTGGAGAGCGGGTTTACCTCGAACTAGTGATTCATGGAACAGGGAAGTGTGACAACGTATGCACGCATTCCTATCGCCAGGATGAAGGACTTACTAATATAAACTCGACAAAACTTATCCCTCATCGAATTCTTGTTGTCAAGCCAATCCAAACAAGGATGACTGAAAATCAGTAAAGTGACCTTTTCAAATTATACATTTCAAAACGTATATTAGTCAAATCTTTAATTGAATTGAGGAATGCTAGCGAGCTTCGAGATATAAAATCTACAATGCTTGAATTAGAATGAAGGTTAGTTGACAAAGGTCTCACCCTTGCGGGAGCATGCGTTCGTTGGCGGTCATCCTGTCTGCACGGCGCTTCTTGCAGGTGTTGCAGGTGAGCGTGGGCGCACCGCCCTCCCACAACCCACTCTTCCAGAATACCAGCCGACCCTCAGCATCCATCGGGTAACGACATCGTAATCACACCACGCACAGAGGAATCCTCAACTTCAACCTTACTTCACAATGACACAACACTAAAAATACTCCTTTGATCCTTTCGTATATCATTTAAGTTACAAAAATTGTTAAAACTATCTACTATTTCTAAAAAAATTACTCCACTGCAGTAAAAATTAACTCAACATTAAAAATCTAATATATCCCACATGTCGCAGTCAACACATGGCATGGTGGGTGCTCCAAAGTCACAGTCGAATGCCAAATCTTTATGTAACGTCAAACAAGATCATCCGAAAACGATTAACAAAACTGAAATCCCAAAATAAACGATTGTAAGCAATGTGGTGCGGCGAGCAGGGCACGAGACCGCGAGACGAACTCCCTTCGCGACGTCTCTCAAAAGACTGCCTTAAAAGCACCACGTTGCGTTGCGCGCCAGCGGCAAACTCCATTGTAATTTCACTATTCACACAACGAATAAAATATCTCAGATTTACTTTGAAACAATCTTGATTGAACTTAAACAAAGACCGAGACATACAATGAGCTTTGAAATTCTAAATTTCTTTTACAATCTCATTGCAAATTTTAACTCTGCAAACAGTTATGTACACAAAGGTATATCTTTCTATTACGAAATATCTCGTAAATCAGTAGAGAAATCCTACTAAATTTAGTAAGTAAAAAAACCTACCTGCTCTATCCTATGCTAACATTTGCCTCAGCAGTATTGATTTAGTACGACGGATTTTTGAAATGAATTTAATATCAATCCAAACATGAATATTTAGATCAATATGCTTGCATATAGGATACATTTGTCGGTGTGTAACATCTTCACCTTGTAATTATTCCTTATTCTTATTATTGCAGTTATACATATGCAAACTTGTCGTTACTATATCTATTTCCAGACACATCGACCAATACACCTTCCGTGATATTGTAACCTTATCCGTATTGCTTCTATCATGATTTATGGGTCCAATTAACCGCTCGCCTTTAGAGCGGTCGCAAAGCCGTCATAAATCAGGAAGCGAGAGTTTTTCACCGTGTCCGCTGCCGGCCGGCTTGGCTGCGCGTCCGCGTGTTGGTCGGTCTATTAATACATACAGATCCTAAGCTTTACGTGATGACCTTTTTATTAGCATCTGGTCGATCCTTGCTGCGATATATTGCATTATTGATTTTTATTATTTGAATAACAGCAACTTGTACTATTAAAAGAGACGAAAGTGTTTAAACTTGATACATTGGACAAATACAAGTAACATTTTCACAATAACTTGTTATTTGAGTTACTTATCATAATATCCGTGATTTATTTATTTATTAAATAATTAATTATTTAACATGAAACAATCGCGGCTGTCGGCACATCACTCCGAGGTCACTCGATTCCAAAATATTACATTTTCGACCCAATCTTCATGCTTTCTCTGTGCCTTGATTTAAAATAAAAAAGTTTATTTACACATCACAATGTTTTAATCAACATTATAATCTTCACAAAGCATCATATCTACTTGATTTGTTAATTGTCAACATAGCGGGTCACCTTGCAGGAGTCCTTGCAAGAAGCGTCGGATCCGGTTTGGAGGACGTCTTAAGTTACAAATGTACTGGAAGAACCAGATAATATCTGATACGTTGCCAATGACATTGAATATTGCATAAGCTCCTGTTGGCTGATTACTGTCATCAGTAAAATAAAAGTGCCAAAAAGCATCGTCGATTTTTAAATGTTATAGTTGGAATGAAATTGGCATAAAACAAACTAAATTACCACATTAGGTAATATTGTAGCAATATTCCTTTTCGCATTGACATATATGTAAAATAGTTTCCTGTTAGTCTGGTTTCGGACCAATAAATACATTATGAAATGTAAAACGTGGACCCAATGACCAGGCCGCTCGGTGGCGCGGCATGGCATGTCGGTGAATCACGCGGATGTCTTCTTGTGCGAATGTAAATAGCATAAAAATTACCTATATCCGTATATACAGAACAATGATATTCTTTATACTCAAAACTTAAGAGTTTACTAGTATAGCACTAACAGCAAACCTCTGCTTGTTGGTAACGCAAGAAGTAACTAACTTAAGTTAACTTGGACATTTGTCACTGTCTATTTTCAGATGAATAATTCATCTGTGTGTATGTTTGTGTGTTTAGCGATGTCGACGGCAGAAGCCACTCTGTCTGCGGGCCCCCGCCGATTGTCTCACAATATGCGGCTATTTCTGTGCCCAAGACATGTGCCCACGCATACCTTGTGCAGGAATTTTGTATTTTTGTCCTTATGTCCGTTCCTTTCGATATAATGCCCGGTAGCCGAGTGACATTATTTTAATTCACTGAAACCTTTATCAAAGCAAAAATTAATTTGAACACTCCAATATATTCACTAGGACAACAGACAGCATTGGCGTGTCGTAACAATTTATAATTTTGATTTTTAAAACTCATCTTTTTTTATACAAACCCGACTCCTTGACCATTTATTGTACATGCAGTAAGACTCAGAAAAAATATATAAGTTCATATGTAATTCCATTGAAATCGCCCGAACGACGCGTAATGCTACAAGAGTCTCAGAGCATATTGGTCTTCAAGTTGGCTACCGGAGACGTTAAGAAACTACTTTACATATTCTATTTCCTTTACTGTTCACGTGAAACGTTGCAGCGTGGGCCGGCCGAGTCGTTTGCCCTACATTCAAGTGGACGGTGTGGGTATTCATGGATCTCAATTAGTGGGTAGCAATGATACCATATAAATTGTTTGACATATCAAATGGTTTTAAGAGCGCGTTGTACATTGTCCTCATAGTTCTATTATATCATACTAACCATATTAATATTATACATACTAATATTATAAATGCGAAAGTTTAGATGGATGAATGCATGGATGTTTGTTAGAGTTTGTAGAATAAACGGCAGAACGGATTTCAATGAGATTTGGTATAGATGTAGAGGATAGTCTTGAAGAACACCTAGG